TTTTAGCGCGGACCCGACGTCCATATAATTGTAAGTCAATGATTACATTATAAAAACTACGGACATGTGAACGTGTGTGTTATCTGTGTATTTGTAAGTGGTGTTGTCGATTTTTGTTTGTGTGAGGCCATTTTAGTGCACCGTAGACCACTTCAAAGCATGGCGGAAAATTTTGTTTGAGTAATAACGCTGGAGCGTCACCAATGTTGTATGCTTTAAGGCCAAGGGGATTAAAAAAGGTGGCTATGGAAATAAATAATTATAGAATGAGTAGAAATAGAGCGCTTTGCGAAAGAATTGGTCCTGGGAAGTACGGCCACCATGACTATTTCTGCTGCTAAGCAGAATTCAACGGAAAATGAAGTTTCTACCCATGATATATGATACCCAGTTCACGCAGAAATATGCGCTTGAAAGTAGGTAAAAGAACATAGATTACTTAGATTCGGTACACAACTTCTGGTTTCACGTCAGTAATCAGCTTAAACGACAAAAAGAAAGGTGTGTCATAGATTGTAGGTAAGTGAAACTTAACTGTTTATATCAGTATCTATGAATTACTAGTTCTATTTGTTTTACTATTTAGCCATGGTGAGTGTTTTAATACGGTCGTCGCCGGCTAGGATTTCCAAAAATGATCAAAATATGATATTACATCTATTTGTATAATAAGCTTTTTCTCTACTGTGAGATTTTTTTAGTGTCTGGCATTTCAACCCGCGGCGTAAACGGAATAAGCATTTAGGTCGCGCCGGACAGAGCACGTAAACGTAATTTTAGATCGATGTTTACCTAAAATTGACATATATCTTTGTTTTTAAATTGACAATTTATATTAACTATTTTTTGCGTAATGCGTAACTTTTAAATTCAATTTGAAATTAAAGTCAATTTTATTGATTCGATATTTTTATCTTCGTCTGAGTCTAGAATGTCATCAAAAATCTAAAAACTTAGAGATTACAGTAGTTCGTAAGGTCCGTACTGGTCATGTTGTATGGTTAAAATACGTAGTGTTAAAACCTGCGGCGTGAAAGGTCCTTAAGTTAGGTATGTCGTCATTTTGAGCTCTCACGCCTCTCATAGGTAGATGAGGTACCGGTCATTTTGACCCACCACGGCGATGAACGTGTTAAGGTTGCTACCGGAACCTTCAAAGATGTGAACCCTATTATTATTCAATATTATTTAGTTTTGTTGTCTTTGACAATCAATACTTTTACCGTTACTTAAGTGAAAATAAGGCTGTAAACGATAATCGTTTAAAGCCTTATTTTTCGCTCGATATAGTTTACTTTTTTAATATTATCTCTATACAGAGTTAATATGATTGAGAATATATATTCGTTCAGTCTACCACATTGTACTCCACACTGCTTATCAATATTTTCAATATGTACTTGTAGCATGCCGTACACGGAAGCCTGTATCCGAGAAGCCATGCGAATCGACACTCTAGTACCACTAGGAGTGCCACATAGGGCGACAGCTGACACCAAACTTGGAGGGTATCATATACCAGAGGCAAGTATTTAACACTTAGAAATGCTTAAGTATAAATAAACAGTGAATGGTTCGTCAGGTATGTAAGCATGTAGATATGACGAACACTGTGTATGCAATATTTAATGCTATTACTGGATTTAATAGGAAATTAAAATGTTGTTATTAAAACCTGCAAGTCTCGTCTCGTGCGTCCAATAGGGCGATGTAACGGGTTGGCCAAAAAATCCGTGCGGTTAAAAAAAAATTTCACTTTTGCAAATGTCGCATTTTAAGAGTAGGGGGAGTTTCAAAATGGCCACCGTACAGACACCGTAAACAATAACTTTTGTTCCATGACTTTCAATAATTCTTCAGATTTTACGTACTTTCATACAAAAATAAATAGATTTGCATTGCCGCGGAACAGATGCCTTAACATAGGTACCTGACCAGCCCAATCCGACTCTAGCTATTAGGTTTTAGGTTGAAATTTGTATTTCTGTAACGTAATTAAAAATCAAATTGGCTTAAAAAGTTTCCTAAATCGTTATTCACTAATGACGCAATAAGAAAGTCATACCAAAATGAATTTTACAACTCACGGGTTACTGGTTAAGTTTGTTTAAAATATTTCTTCACATTCTTCTTTTTTATTTTTTTATTACATCACACTGAGAACTAAAAGGACGGTTAGTGTGTCAGGTATCTTAGGACATGGACTGTATATAGATACTAGATATATTACGGAAGCTGAGAAAATTCCCAAAACTGCGTGAAAATTCTTCTGAAGACGCCCGACCTATTTATTTTCGCTCGTATCTGGTTTGTACGTGTTCGTTATGCTATACACAGTCGATGCCTTAATTATACCTGACACACTAACCGTCTATTTGGTTCTGAATAGATCAGTGTGAAGAAAGATGTTAAACAAACCTTACCTTTAACCTGTGAACCGTAAAATTTATTTTGGTATGACTTCCATATTGCATCATTAGTGAATGACGTTTTAAGAAACTTTTAAAGGTAATTAAATCTTTTTTTAATTTATTTAAGTGTGTATTACATTTAAAGCACTAAAAAACAAAACATTCCAGTACAACATACACTTAACTAAGTCTTTCCGTATACCGCTCATTCGTAGTACAAATACAAATACATTTCTATGTGTAGTGTGTGCGTTAGTACTGCTGCGTGTTGACATTCCTCTTAGTGCGCGTGAGAGTCGTTGAAAAGGGTGTCACTAAACCTTGATCCTTGTATGTACATCCCACCGCAACTATGAATTATGAACAATTGACATAAAGCTCATTATTCTATGGTCACAAAAGTCGCTTTCATTCTGTTCCGTCGTAATATAAATAGAGCCTTAGTTAATAAAGAGTTCGTATTTTAAAGATTAGTGCTATTATTACCGTGCAATAATATTTACTGACTACATGGTTTGTTACGTCACTAGTAATAAACAAACACGAATAGGTACCTTCACGCTATTCTCATTAGAAACATTATGCAAATGAGCAAAAACAAACAACGACTGTTGTCAATGGTGATGCAAAAAACTTGTCATGTGTAATCTTTAACTTGCTTAATTGAAAATACTTAATACATTATTAACAATTGGTACTTATTCCGTTGTGTCTAAAACTATATTTATTTTTATTGAATCATGATCTTTTTACCATGATATTGTTTGATATTTAGCGACATCTCTATCAGTCATCTGGTAGCTGTAAAGGCACCTGGCTGTATGAAGAAACTTTCATAAGTTCTGGAAAGTTTCAAAAATCTGGATCGAGTCCAGTTGGATTTCGATCGAGTTTTAATTTGTGTTTGTCCAATCTATATATCAATAATAAGAATAAGAAACATTCATTGCAACGCCACAACACAAAAATAAACAAAAATAATGAATAAATAAAAATAAATGTACGAAAAAATCAATCAACACAATTTGAAAAACTGTCATGGCGTACATCACAGTCACACGCTTGAGTCTTAGGGATGGGTATCGATTAATCGATTAATCGGAATAATCGATGGTTTTGTGGAATAATCGATGTTTTTAATCGATGTCGTATGGTTCGTATATTGAATAATCGATGATTTCACACCGATTTTTGCTAAAAAAAACTATATTTCATTATTAAAAAAACAACTGCTCTGAAATCCAAATGTTCATTTTATTTAGTCGATTTTCGAAAAATGAGACTTGTGCACAATACCGTGGGACCAGAAAGATGGTTTAGATAAAATTTGTCTCCACCGCCTTTTAAAAATTTATAATTAATACCGGTATCAATACTACTATATAATTTGAAATAAGGCGGGAAATGAGGGTTATGTTACGAGGTTCCTGTGCATGCCGCCTGAGCCGCCGCCTGTGTTGTCGAGGATATTTTAGAGAACCTTGAGTATTGTATAGCTCTCTCTATACCTACTTAGTTTTTTTAACTTTAGAAATCAGGTAAAGAAAGAAGCAGGGTAAACCATAAGAGATGAAAGTGACGTTATAAAATGTAACTTACACGCTAAAAAAATTCACCAACAAGAATATGAAGTAATGCGACCAATTAAAATATTTATATTTTGTCGATTACTCGATTAATAGATTTTGAAAGCCACGATTAAACGGTATATCGATTGTTTTGTCAAAAAAAGTAATCGATGTCAATAATCGATGTTTTGTTGGTAGATACCCATCTCTAATGAGTCTATCTAGTACAAAGTTAATTATAATACAATGTAAGTAGTATCTTATAGGGTTATGTCATAGATTTAGTACGTTAAATCGATGGTTCCCAAAGTGGTTCAAGTCAATATCCAGGGTTCGATTCTAACCTGCACGGGGTACCTACTAATGAGAGAAAAATATTAGGCAATACAAGTCGTGACAAAAGCTTTATTTGAAAAGAAATTTCATTGTTTATTAACAACAATGCAATTTCTCGCAACGCTGCGGAGTATGAAATAGTATAAAATGATATTTAAAAAGTGAAATCTGTAGATAATTAAGACAGTACCGGTTGCCAGTTCACAATCGATATAATTATAATACATTATAATAATATTACTGGAGTCCATACTAGGTTATTGGATCAGTGTTACAGATCTCTAAGCCCCCATCATTTACACTTGACTTTTTTTAATAAACGTTAATACGCTATAATAGTAAACAACGTAGAGACGAGTCGATAGTGTGTCTGTCTGTATGTGTATGTGTGTGCATGTATCAACAACGTGTATACCTATTTATAGTGTGTGTATGAATAAGGTGATTTTAAGATAGGCCTCTATTCTAGAAAGATATATTTTATTTTTATTTATTTTATTTCTATTGGATAAGGTACAGCAACTGATTACAGATCAGAATAAACATTAACAATACTACTCTACATGAATGAATATAAACCGGCAATCCAAGTATAGCTATACACAACAATTTAGTAAAAACAGTGGATATTTGGTACCTAGAAGAAATTATTTAAATATGCTCAATAAATAAAAAAAGAGAATAAAAGATATTAAAAAAAACATAAAGTTACGCAAAGAAATTAAAGTGGTGAATTCGAATGTAGGTAGGTAGTCTTCTAAAACTGTTATAACTATCGTTATACAGATCATGATCAGAACAGATAATATCATTCTAATATCTACACATTCTGGATATCGGGCTATTACTCGAGACATTGTTTATAAAATATGGAATACAGAATAGTTGGTGTATACGTACAGAACGTGTTGGCACCTTCGTATATTGTATATCATCTGCAACAAGGTGGCATCTGCAAAACCGTTAGCAATGTTGTGTAGCATAGATAAATCCGATATCTGTCGTCTTTTTTTTAATTGACCTAATTTTCTTCTAGGACACGATGATAGGTGCGAACTACACTACTCTACATATGGATAAGAAGATCTGGGGCGACCCTGAGAACTTTAGACCGGAAAGGTTCATCACTGACGGAAAGCTGAATCTTGCTCTCGACAAATCGTTGCCTTTTGGTGCAGGTAAGATGTATAAACATTGTTGTTGTGTTGTGTTGTTGTACCCTTGATATAATAAATATCCTTTTTTTAATTTTCTATAATATCAAGTGACGGGACGACCAAGTCGTGCACTTGGTGGTAAGCTACACGCCTGTCCATGACAGGTGCAGTGCCATTCAGAGCTTTAAATCGCAAAGATCTGAGGGGCACTGCCACTGCGCCCGACACCTTGAGATATAAGTTGACAAGTCCCATGTGCCTGTAATTTCACCAGCACGCTTACCCTTCAAAACCAGATTATTATTATTATTATTAGATTAGATTGATTATTGATGGTGGTATGTCGTTCCAATATAAGTTCTGTATAATAATATACTCAGGATGTTATTACAGCTGCTATATGATAGCAGTTATGCTTATGTGTAATCAGAACCACTTTATAATGGCATTATTGTCCAAAGCACAAATACTTGAGAACAAAATTTAGTTCCAGTAAAGCCACATATTAACTGTGGCCGAACGGTTATCATGCCGGACTGCCACGCAGAGGTCCCAGGTTCGATTCCCGGGCCGGGAGACATATTTGTAAGGCCTACATTTATTTCTCTCGTGTGTTTGTGTGTAATTTGTGGCTGTCTATGTGTGTGTCCATGGCACCCGCGACACAGGTTTTTCCTAGTGCTGGGCCATGTTGAGTGTGTGCGTTATTGTTATTATTATTATTACATTACTAAATAGTTATGTAAAGTTCCTTGTGAAAGAGGTCATACAGAGACTACTACCAATCACAGAACAATAAATTATCTAATTAATTTATTTAATCATATTGTGTTAAGAATCTTTACTGGCAGATTTAATGTCCATTTTTGTTCATTGCAATAACTTTTATCGTCTGTATAAAACGTACCTATATCTCTTATTACACTCCGAGAGTATACTGTTGTTTGAACTTACGGTTGTTTTTATGGCTTGTTGTACGTAATACGTACTAATTATAGTAAGCAAATGCCGCTCCATTTATTTTAATAGTTAGTCTTAATAACGTGTACATATACTTTATGTAACTGTATGGATAAAATTATAAAGTTCTAAACGTTACATTTTGACATGGTCTGATCTTTAAATTATGGTCTCTATCTGCTTCTTCTTCTTACCGTTTCCATGGCATATATTATAAATGCTGATTCATGTTACGTGCCGGGGCCAGGCCGTCACCGGCCGGTTTTTTGTTATTTTTCATTTTTCTCTTGAGTGATAAGGTTGTGTTATTAATGCAATTTTTCACAACTTGAGTTGGCAGCTATTGCAATAACTCTAGATGACGGAATATTGGAAACACAAATTGAAACTAGAAAAAGAAGATGGTGTGTAAATCCCGCCTGGAGAAAAAGATAATCCGAAGGAGAATTTGCCACGCTCTACAAAGATTTAATGGATGATGAGGGCATTTTGCGCTTGCACTGTCCACTACACTATACTGGCGTCCACTAACTAAAACCCGGCTTGGTCACAAATGGTCAAAAATCCGTTTTAAATAGCAACAAAATAGAGCACAAAATTCTCTTAAACAACAGTTAAAATTAGTTAACGTGTTCCAATTATCGGAACTTAGTATAGCTGAAATATCATTAAACAATATTCTAAAACTGGATTATGGTTTTTTATGATATCTCAAAAAATTATTTTGTCACTTAGCCACGTTTACTAAAACGGGCGGACGGCAGTATAGTCCAACGTTGACTACCCTCCGGGTGCCCGGCGAATGCATTCATATTACGTAGTGTCGCGAACGGGTCGGGCTGGAAATGGGAAAAAATCATTGACTTACAATTATATGGACGTCGGGTCCGCGCTAAAAAGTGTCCGAACTTATAGGGCGTTAAAATCGTATACAGAGCGTCATTCACGCTTTAGTCTTCGTTTGTTCGACTGACAGCGAAACAAGCAAAATTAGACAGTACTGCGATGACATTACAATTTAAATTCATCGTTTTAGCTTTTTCATATTCCTTTACGTGTCACTACGTTTAAATAGGTTGACTTGGGACATATTTTTCGTGGTTTTTGTATTAGACCCGTCGTCCATTTATTTGTAAGTCAATGGAAAAAATACTCGACGCGCCATGCCCCGACTATGCATCGGCCATGACACGGACTCGGCCCGGTCTAACATGAAATTTATACAAAAGCATATCGACGGGTCATAAGCATAAGGGCGAAACTAACAATTTGATGATTTTCACTTCTTTTTGGGAAATGCTCCACTTCATTATAAAATTAAGTATTTTCCACAAAAAAGTGAAAATGATCAAATTGTTACTTAACTAACAATTAAATCATTTTTACGTTTTTGTGGGAAATGCCTCGATATACAGATATTTCACCGTGTCATGGCCGGCCACGGTACAGTGTAATGATTTGTCAATCGGAGTGCGGTAATTGCCGATTGTCGCCCAGGTTGCGCCAGACGTATGTACAGGAAAGGAATGGTACTATTAAATGGCTTAAATGGTGCTGTTAACTAAACTTTAGAATGTTGTAAGTTTATAATATTGTACATTAAGTAATCTGTGCATAACAACTTAGTACAAAATTATGTCAATGAAACGCATTAATACAACAACATATAAACCTTTTGTAGATAACCTCTTTTGCACAAATTGCGACCTAATAATATGCTAATAATCGATAAGAGATTTTTTATTTCGTATCTTGTTAGAACCAGCGTGGCTTAAATCTTCGCTAGAGAAGAGACCCGGACCTAGCAGTGGGACGTATAAATTGGTTGATGATGATATCTATGCACTATTGTAGACAACACCACAAGTGCTTCTGTGGCCGAACGGTTACCATGCTAGTCTGCCACGCAGAGGTCCTGACTTCGATTCCCGGGTCGAAAGAAATATTTGGATTACATTTATTTATTTCGCGAGTTTGGGTGTAATTTGTGGTTGTCTATGTGTGTGTCAGCGTGGAAAATTTGATATCTTTACCTAGTTCTCCAAAGGATAAAACTCGACCATGCAAAAAAAACAATTCGATAAACAGAAAATGGAAAATTTATTAAAATAAATTACCGGTGATATGAAATACCACCACGGGTAAAATTTTTTTGTTTTTTATTGTTGGTGCGGCTATAATTTTTATATATGTATATATGTATATACGGTATGGACAACTGTCCATACTGTGGTCACGCGTGAGATGCTAGCTAACCACTTCTACTAGTGTTTATTATTTTGTGGTGCCACACACGACGTTGTAAAATGAGTTGTCTTCTGACTACGCGCGTAATTACGACCGAATTTCGGACGCACTGTATGACGTATTATTGAGGGTAGATAGAGTGGTGAGAGAAGGAACCTTACAAATCTAAATGTTCGCATAAACTTTAATATAGAAAACTGTCCACACTTTTAATCTTTCCATATTGATTGGATTTTTTTTTAATTAAAAATAAGTGCGCATTTGACCTCCCTCTCACCTGATGGAAAGTGACAATGAGGTCCACGATGTAGCATGCACATCTAAATTATGCCCAACACTCCCAAACAATGGATGTTTCCAGCTTATTTTCCTTTTTCTAACATTGCCTTCGAATGCTTTATAAATACACGCTATGTTTAATGGATTCATTACACTATACTACAGAAACACCGTACAAACGCTTAGAAGCAACCGAAGAAAATACGTTCGTCTGACGCCCTAGCTGAAATTATTCGTCTCAAAAAACGTCACACAACTCAGAAAATTACGCTCGTTTTGCCTCTCCCTAAGACGTTGTTAAAAATTTTAATTTGTCAATTCGGAGAAAACTTTTTCTGATCATAACAATATTTTAGCCCAAGTTATATTTATGCAAGAAATTCTACTAATGCTAGGTTTCAAGGTAGTACTTATCATTATAGTAGTAGTACGTAATCTTTAATCATAAAAGATCATAGCGTGTTTATTTAAATATGATTCTTTATGGTTAGTAAATATAGGCTATTATTGTTCTATACAGAGTTTTGACTTAAACATCAAGTAATAAACATAGTATGGATACTACCAGCTTTGAGATCCCTGAACGTTTAAAAATAAAAGGTAAATAATTAAAACAAAATAATAAAATAAAAACAAAAATGCTTTATTTCAACAATACAATCAGCTTTAACAGTGGATACGTCTTATTAGCTTATCAAGCCTATGTCAGGACTCAGAAGGCACCGTACATTTATAACTCATAATTTTAATTTAATTTTAATTTTTATATCGCAAAACCAAAACAATCCAATTATAACTTTTGATAAGTTTTTCTTTTAGTTTTTAAATAAATAATTTTTATATACAAAAAAAAGAAGATACATTTTTACGTACATTTACAAAACTTTTTTCTTAATGCACTATTTTACGCATTAAAAATATAGAGCAAAATACAACAATTCCGTGCCAAAATTACGTCAGTCATAACTACGTTAAGATTTTTTTCTTTTTCGTTTCTACATATGTGCTCGATTTTTTGACGATCGACACGTGTGGAGATATAAGAGTAAATGCGTAAGCAATAGGCGATCTACTTCGTATTCTTTTATTCATCAACACGTGTGATCAGACACAATCGAGAAAATATGTAAGGAAATGACGATCTATACAATATTTTTTGTCTATCGGCACTTATTATTACATAAAATCGAGTAAATATAGAACTAACAGACGATCACTAACAGCGCTGTCGCATTTTTATCGATCGAATAAAATAAAATATTATTGATGTGATTAATATTGATATATTGAGTGTGATTCATAAGTTGGGCCGAGAAAAACACAAAGAGTTAAATCTTACTCTGTGAAAATATAAATGACTATAAAGATATCTCGCTAGTGCGTCGCCAGTACGACAAAACACATATAACAATGCGAGTTAATGGTGATTATTGCAGGATGGAAATATTTTGATAAACAAATGTTACAAACACAATGAACAAAAATAACCTAGCTCACCTTGACAGTAAGTCTTTACAAAGCCACAAATACATTTAAGGTGGAATGTTTATGGTCCTATTTATAATAAAATTCTTATTAATATTACATATTTGTCAATTACGAGGTTGCAGACTATCATGAAATAAAGACTTTATTACACTGCTTCAACTTGGATGACGAAAATCTGGGGTTGAACCTTTTCTTCTTCCTGGTTCTTCCAACATACGATATTTTGAAATAAATGTTATAAACAATAAATGTAAACAAAAAATTTTGTATTTATGTTTTATTGAATGTCAAGGTGGTACACCACAATGATAATCAATTATTTTATTGTGAAATTACTCTACTAGTTAATATAATTATTAAACGAAAAAACGAACACTTAGAAAAAATTAACTTCGATCCGGTTGGATACGAACAAACGTCTCCCAACAAACCGTGGCAGACGCTATGCCTACTAAGCCACGGAATGAACCACCGGACCTAACGAACTTTTCTGTGTTTGTTGCAGATCTTTGTTTTTGTTTTTTAACGACTTTTTGCCATCTGTGAGAAATCTATAAAAGTTTTTCTTCACTCGGCGAGGCACCTTTATATTGTATATAAATTTTATTTTATTCAGGCCTTTGCTCAGCAGTGGGACAGTATAGGCTCATAATAATAATAATAATAATAATAAAAAAATTAAAAAAAAAACAAAAAAAAATACAATAATAATAATAATATACATTTTATTGTATGCCAGGATAATTCACCACCACGATATTAATTTATTTTTTGTGAAATTACTCCACTAACAATAATTAATAATAAATAATAATAAAAGCTTCATTTCTGACCTTAAATAACAGTAAAAACTTAAATATTAGCTTTATGCTATAGTACTAAAAGGCGGCTAAGTGACAAAATCATTTTTTGAGATATCATAAAAATCGTAACCAAGTTTTAGGGCCGTATTCTAGAACTCTACTCAATGCTCAAGTACTGACTTGAGCAGACTTGAGTATGATTTCAAGCACTGGAAATACGACCCTAATGGCAAGGACTTGAGTACAATTTTCAGTGCTCACTGCAATACTCAAATCCTGACTTGAGTATTGAATAGAGTTCTGGAATACGACCCTAAGAATACTGAAATTGTTTAATGACATTTCAGCTATGCATCGTTCCGATAAATAGAACACGTTAACGAATTTTAACTGTTTTTAAAAGACAATTTTGTACTCTATCTTTTTCTATTTATAACAGATATTTGTATTAGATATATGTATTAGATACTTCTTATAGGTATGGAGATAGATAGTTAAAATATTATTTGTAGGTATTTATTTTATCACTGTTCTACGTAAGGACCGCTTTTTCAACGGTAAAAGACTCCTCCAGCTCCTTCCACTTTTCTCGGTCTCTAGCGGCTCTACTCCATACTTTGCCTGCTACTCTTACGACGTCATCTCATCATCTTTTGTGTAGTCTTCCAGGTTTACGCTTTCCATGTATATTGGGTACCAATTCGTAACGGTTTTGGATTATCTCCACTTTAACTGAAGAATTATTTTTACAGCATCTATGGCCTTGGTCTTTTTTCATTATTATGTTGTTTTTTATTTTATCTTTTAATTTGTGGCCACAATAGCTTCTTTCTAAACCTCTCTGACATATTTTAACTCGTTCTAAGCTCTGCTCAGTTAAAAGCCATGATTGACAAGCGAAAGTTAGACGTGTTTCATAGCTTTGGTTTTTAATTTGATAGGTAGATTACCTTTGAAAATCTCTTTCATACTCCACTAGTTTATTATAATTGTTATAACAAAAATCGAGCACTTACAAAAAATTCACTTAGAACGGGTTGATTATTTTATTTAATCGTTTATTGTATAGAAAAAAACACATAAAACGAAAACACAAATTATAAGTGCTGCATACTTCTAAAAGAAATTTCTTCCTTTCAGGCTAAACACAATAACTAAATTAAAGGACTTACGTGTAACACAAAACAATAATAAATAGTAATAGTTAGCTTATATATAGTCCCACGGCTGGGCACAGGCCTTCTCTCACGATGACAGAGCTTGGGCTATAGTTCCCACGCTTTGCAGACGTCCGCAGGTTTGCTCACGTTGTCTCCCTTGACCGAAAAGGTTATAGTCAAATTTAAAATTAAATTTCATGCAAGCCCGAGGATTCGAATACGGGCTTGCTTAAGAGGCGGTAGAGCAAATAATTTAATTACCACGGCAATAAAACAAAAATTATGCAATACAAAAACAATATCAATAACATTAAATTATAAAATACACAAATATTTTAATTTTTTTTGAATCACTTATAGCCCTACTACTAGGGCAACCGGGTGCCATGGACACACATGTAGGCTACCACAAATTACACTCAAATCCACGGGAGAAATAAATATATTTCATCCGTCGAACCCGGGACCTCTGCGTGGCTGTCCAGTGTGGTAACCATTTGGCCACGAAGACAGTTATTTTTTTATTATACCTAGTTGCGGGACGACCAAGTCATGCACTTGGTGCACTCAGAGCTTTAAATTGCAAAGATCCGAGTGGCGCTGCCACTGCGCCCGTCACCCTGGACCATAAGTTAACTAGTCCTATGTGCCTGTAATTTCTCCAGCACCCTTACCCTTCAAAACCGGAACGCAAAAATGCTGTCATAACTGCTTGGCGGTAGAAATGGCTAAGGTGGCAGTTGTTCCCTGAATGAACTTCACAAGAAGCTCTATTGCTACTCGATCATTAATTTCATCAATATATTACCAAAGTCTGACCACATGAACAGTGCAGGAGTGACAATAGAAACCGGAATTGAAGGACGGATAATATAGCTGGGACTTACGAGAGAGCGATAGGGCTTGTCCTATATCATTTATTTATGGAGTGGAAACCTTTTTTTATTCAACCTTTTCAGGGCAATCTGCCATACGAACGAGTCGTTGTATGATTATAATAAATTTCACAATGTCAAATCAAAACTTATGAAACAAAGGTATTGTGAATTTTAATATCTTCATATCTAATCAATAATAATTGCACTTGCATTACGAGTCATGTCATTGAAACCAAATGCATTTTCGTATTTATCGATAATATTTTAGATTACTTACTTGATAAGGAATAATATTTAAAATTTTTATTGAATTGATATTCAATTATTTTTTGTGAAATTACTCCACTAGTTTGTTGTAATTATTAATACAATGATCGAACACTCAGGAAAAATTCCTTCGATCCGGTCGGATTCGAACCGACGTCTTGTAGCATACCGTGCCAGACGCTATACCAACTACGCCACGGAACGAACCAGCAGACCTCACGAATTTTTCTATGTTGTTGTTGCCGTGTCTTTGTATTTGGTTTTTCAACGATTTTTTAGTCGTAGCGCCATCTATGTGAAATCTATGAAAGTTTTATCACCCAGTTAGATACCTTTACAACTACCGGCCCTGGCGAGAGATGTCACTATTCACTGAATTTTAAATTTCTATTTAATAGATATTCAATTATTTTTTGTGAAATTATTCCACTAGTTTGTTATAATTATTAATATGCAGGCGAATTGAGAACCTCCTTTTTTCGAAGTCGGTTAAAAGTAATAGTGAAGTTTTTCTTTCTTCGGGACAAGCAAAGACGTCTAAGCCATACTGCCAGATCTTAAAATGTTGGTATCTCAAAGTAAGTAAATGTAAGCATAGACAATACGCAATGTTAAATTTAAACTATAGCAACTCTGGCCGGTGATCTTTCCAAAATCCACGTGAATTTAGGACACACTTCGAGATGTAGGTATTTATTTTTAAGATCTTATTTTAGTGGCCATATGATCGTGATTACAATAACCCTTGATGAGAAGTTGTTGACATGACAGTACTTATATATATGTAATATAATAATAATTTATTTCGTTAAAAGGGTACAACACTAATCTAATTAAAACACAGATTTGATCATGTTACAAACACACGAATTTAAACAATTCAGTAAACTAACTACTTGGTACCGGACTTGTTCCTTACTAGCTCATTAGGCC